CCGTTGTCTGCACCACTCAAGGCGATTACGTCGGTGTTAAGGGAGGACCCAGTGTGGCCGGTATGAAAACAAGCCAAGACTTCTCATTCGTCGGTAAACACTTCGCATGCCAATAGGTCTTCCGTGTTCTGCAAACCATCCATTTGCAATGGACCTGGTAGTGGAGAAACGGTCCCTTAAGGCCAATAATCTTAGGCGGCGATCTTCACGGTCTGTTGTTCTACGGCGGCGTCCAGTGCCCCTTGCTCTTTGCGTAGCGCCTTCTCGAATCCATGCCTGACAACACCTAACCACAGTGTCTACACTTCTTTGCACTCTAACTGCAATTGGCCGAAAAGAAAGTCCAGCTTCCCGAAGTCCCACTATACAGCCCCTATCAAACTCACTAAGTTGACGAAATCGTACAGGTCTCCGTACTCTAGGCATCGTAACCGATCGTAAAGGATGTCAAGAACCAAATTCCGCCAACGTTGATTCTTTACTGAGGCTGAAATCATTTTTAGAGCGTTAGTGAATTAAAAAAAAGCAGTATAAAAACCGGAATGTCCAACTGATAAGGCTGAAAATTTTTTCACTTGTTACTTACAGTAAGATAAATACTCGTACATTCACCAACTTTTATTAAAATAAAACCATTTAAACTGGGTGTTGGGATTTATATGCTACTTAGTATATATTATAATTCCTTATAGTATTTAGTTTTTTAACTTATGTAATGGTGTATCTCTTATCAGTGACTGTATCTTAAATTAAAAAAATGCCTATTCTTGTTATAATAGATTATTCATTATTGTCATTCAACATTGTTTATATCTCCCCAAATTCTGTATTATGATCTTGTTTGGTCCTGGTTGGTATGAAAAGCAGCTTTTACCTGACACCCGCCAGGTTAAATAAAGGCTATTATTATTATTATTATTATTAGTAATAGTCCAGAATGAAAACATTTCATGTACATAGAACCATTAATCGAACAATAGCGGAGTGCGAGCAGGAATTACCTTAACTGAATCTCCCAAAACGTGGAAGACCACGTGCATTTACTGCACAGACTTCAGAGAGATTGGTGGGAAGAGCAAAAAATTATGTTGGAATGTCAACAAAGAGACTGGCTCGTCAATACAGATATTAAGATAAGAGGCTTGACTGCCCCAAATACTCTCAAGCGCAACTCCTTCATATACCACACTTTGCCAATGCAAAAATCATTATTTTAGATGACGAAAGGTATTTCACTTTGAGTAATTCTGAAATGAAGGGAAACAACGGATTTTATACGGACAAGGTAGAGGAATGTCCTGACAATGTTACATACAAACATAAAGCGATATTGGCAAATAAAATCCTTGTATGGTGCGCAATCTCTAATAGGGGTGTATCCCAACCTTTTGTGGGAAGAGTGAGGGGTCAAGCTTTGAATATTGAGCTATGTAGGTAGTTAATGAAATAAATGACGAAACCTCGTTATTAATTTTTTTTGCAAGAGCAACTTGCTTTGTAATATCAACACGTAGATTGAGAATTGATAGTTTCTGATAATGATAATATAATGCCATTAGTGCGTTTTTCAACTTAGTATGTGGTTGGCGCTAGTTACAGTCTACAATCTCGGCATTTTATACAATAACCTTCGTGCTAGTATTCGTTCGATATTTTTGCAAAGAAAATTATACTAAGTGACATATAAATCCGAACACCCAGTTTAAATGGTTTTATTTTAATAAAGTTTTGTATAAGTACTTAATGAAGCATAATAAGTAAATGATAAAAATTTCAAAATGATTGCATTGCTTTAAAGCCCTTTGACCTTTAATAATGTGTGGATGCACCCTGATGTGCTACGCATTCTCCAACGCGCCTAGGCATGCTTCTGATCAGGTGGTCAATGTCCTCCTGTGGTATCTCATTCCAGGCAACCACCAACTCCTCTCGAAGTGCTTCTAGAGTCTGAGGAGGACGTTGCAAATTGAGCAATCTCGTACCCATCATATCCCACACGTGCTGAATTGGGGATAAGTCGGGAGATCTTGGTGGCCATGGTAACAATGTGACATCATTATGTTGAAAGAAGTCTATTGTGACTCTTGCAACATGTGGTCGGGCATTATCTTGTAGGAAAGTTGGATCTGCCAGGGTGTCAAGATAGGGTAAAAGCTGGGGTTCTAGAACTTCGTGGATATAACGCTGCGCGTTTATGTTACCTCTGATGAAGATTAAAGGTGACCTGGAACCATAAGCTATAGCACCCCAAACCATAACTCCGACAGTGTGATGAACATGTCTTTCAACAAAAAACTGTGGATTCCTCCTTTCACCACGTCGCCTTCTAACCCTGGCACGACCATCGTACATGCCTAAACAAAATCGAGACTCGTCACTAAAGACAATAATGTTCCATTCCTGATCCCAGAGTGACCGTTGTCTGCACCACTCAAGGCGATTACGTCGGTGTTCTCGAGTTAAAGGGAGGACCCAGTGTGGCCGGTATGAACACAAGCCAAAACTTCTCATTCGTCGGTAAACACTCGCATGCCAATAGGTCTTCCGTGTTCTGCAAACCATTTATTTGCAATGGACCTGGTAGTGGAGAAACGGTCCCTTAAGGCCAATAATCATAGGCGGCGATCTTCACGGTCTGTTGTTCTACGGCGGCGTCCAGTGCCCCTTGCTCTTTGCGTACGGCCTTCTCGAAGCCATGCCTGACAACACCTGACCACAGTGTCTACACTTCTTTGCACTCTAACTGCAATTGCCCGAAAAGAAGGTCCAGCTTCCCGAAATCCCACTATACGGCCCCTATCAAACTCACTAAGTTGACGAAATCGTACAGGTCTCCGTACTCTAGGCATCGTAACCGATCGTAAAGGATATCAAGAGCCTAAATCCGCCAACGTTGATTCTTTACTGCGGCTGAAATATTCATTTTTAGAGCGTTAGTGAATTAAGAAAAAGCAGTATAAAAACCGGAATGTCCAACTGCTAAGGCTGAAAATTTTTTCACTTGTTATTTACAGTAAGATAAATATATTCACCAACTTTTATTAAAATAAAACCATTTAAGCTGGGTGTTCGGATTTATATGTCACTTAGTATATAATAAACTGACAATATTTGTACCTACACCATCTCAGAACACCGAATCACAAGCACTATATTTTTTAAGCGCTGAGGGTTACGATGACTTGATCATTATCAGCATTTGAATTCAAATGTATAGGTCAACCAAGTGCTGTGTTTGAACGTCTGTTTTGAGTTATAGCAAGGGTTTTCAACATAATTTCTCCAGAAAAGCTCCGAGCTATTCTTGTAGTTCGTAGAGTGCTGCTTGGATTTTGATAGAACTTTGACACGAACCTACTTCTGTGTCGCTGATGAAACAGTATTTCAAGGGTTCGATTTATCTGAAATTTCGATCAATCACTTACATAACCCTATATGAATATAAAACTATTGTAATGAGTTCATAATTGCCTGTTTATGTCATATAGTATACCGAGTGTTTCAAATTTGACCTTCACCATTGTGATCTCGGAAACGGTAAGAAATACGAAGTGGCTTGAATGGAGGCAAAGTTGCCTTTTACGTAAGTAACAAGGCACCTCATGGAAAGTTTCGAAATTCAAAGTAACTCCGGAGAGAGACCGAAAAAAGCGAATTTTCCGAAAATCGCTTTGATTTTCTCTTGACTTTATTCGTAGTGGGATTTCAAAATAAGTTGCACATGAACATTGCCACCTTTTTTCTTCTGCAAGATGGTATAATTAGATCTTCAGTATGACGATTCATATCTTGTCTGCCAGCCTCAACCTTATATTTTTATTATAAACGCTATATTGGATTTTTGCAACGATGAATAAATTTTTTAATTTTAAAAATATACGCCATAGCTTAGTTGATTCAAGAAATAGGACTTTCTAGAAAGGCCTTGAAATTATCAGTCATTTGTTTCGTTACCGAATCTACTAAAAATCGTAGTTTATTTTTTGGTTTATAAGAAATAAGATTTGGAAATAAATTGTATATTAGCATTCTCACTCCTTCTCTCCTACAACGGGGTGTAGTCAAATTTTCATTTAGATGTTTCTGCTTTCGATCTCAATCCTTAACTTTATTTTTTGGTTATAGACACTCCCTATTGAAATTTCGCGCAATCGGAGGAAATATTTGACTCTACATTTACATAGTTATGAATATGGTACATGATCTGTGTCACGATAAACTTCACAGATTTAACTTGAGTAATATTATTCGTAGAAGTATTTGAATTCCAATATAGCGTCCATATGAAAAAACAAAGTTGGTGATGGAAGTAGGAAGAAGAAACCTTGAACTGAAAATTTGGCAATAACAGCATGAAATTTATTAATCGCATCTCAAGTAAAGTCAGGAAGAATTAAAAATGATTTTGTGATAAATCTCGTGTACAAAACAAATGACTATCCGATTATTTCAAGGCCAACCTAGGAAACTCTGTTTATTTTCAATCGTTAAGGTTTGGCAATGTCAAAGTATGAGACATTTTTTGGAACCAGAATTAAAAACTCTATTCACGTGTGCAAAAATCCAAAATGGAGTACATAAGAAAAAATGCTGGGGGACACTAGACGAAACGTCATTTCGAAAGTCTGATTATGACATCTTGTAAAAGATAGAAACTGGATATATTAATGTGCAATTTATTTTCAAGTCCACTACCAAAAAAATCAGGAAAAAACTACAACAATTTTGGGAAAATTAGCTGATTTCCGACTCTCTCCGGAGGAACTTTGAATTTTGAATTTTTTTGTGCGGCATTTGGATAGTCAACTAGATCCTAATTTTGTCCTCGTTCAAGCGACTTCGTATCTCTAATCGTCAGATAGAAAACTTTTTGCTCCCCTCTGGGTATCACGTTAGAGGCTCAAAACTGACTTTGAAATTTTGAAAACTGAAACTTTGGATTTGGAGATTGCAGGATGTTGGTATATGCTACCGAGGACGCCAAAACTCCAGTAAAGTCGTTAATTTAGAACATCTGGTCTTATTTATTAGCCAAAATGACGGCATCAGCATATCTCATATATTGTATTTTCTGCATGAACATCCAGTGGTGACTCGGACAGAACCTTTTAAGTATCTTTAGCTGAGCTAATTTACCGGTATCACCGATGATCTTCTCCTAAAATTTAATAAATGTAGTACTTTCCTCAACATCGGGCAACTGCTTGACTCTTTCTTCTTCTCTTCGCCTTGATTTAGTTCTGGTTCTGGTACAAAAGAAACGCTTTTACGCTCGACAGTTGGGCATGTACAGTTACATTCAGTATTTTCTCTTCGCTCCTTGGAGCTTTCTACGTTTGTTACCTCGTCTTGGACGCAGAAGACCGTTTTTGAGCAGTTCTTCACAATCATATTCTTGGCAGGAGTCTCCTGGCTATACATACTGTACACGGACAAACCATCTTTTTTGTTCTCGGATGTTTCTGAGTGGTCAAAGGAATCACTTTTCACGGAACGGTTCAACATATCTTTAACGTGTTTGTTGTTTGACTTGCCAGAGCACTTCTTGCATTTGCACTTAACCTCACAGACACAAAGATCGCTTCCGAAGATATCGTCTCTTCTCCTTGAACCAGACAGTTCATCTTCATACAGGTTTGTCAGCCGATGCACTTCTTCTCTCTGATAAGACAGCTCCTTCATTATGTTGCTAATCAACCTGTAGTTCTGTTTTGCCTCCATTTTTATCAACATCTTCAGCACTTCTAGTTGTTCTTGACAGTTACATTTTCTACCTGTACCTATACCAAAGCTTTGCTTTCTAGCAAAAGTTGCTCTAGATGATCCAGTTTTGCTATCATCGTTCACCAGAGAAGTTTGGGTGAGAGCGTCCGATAGGTGGCGTTTGTCTTTCGGACTTTGATTGATTTGATCTCTTTTCTCCTGTTGATACTTTGAAGGTGCGCTGTTTGTTGTTTCTCGCATCCTATCATTATTTGGACTGAATATCATGGAGGCAGCAGCGCTGGCTGTAGCTGCAGTGTTTGTAGCACTGGACGACTCGCAAGTACCTGTAAAATTATGTCAAGTATCAATATTTGTTAAAGAAAGATGAATATATTGGATACAGAACACAGTTAGTTTTTCTTCTTCATCCCTTTTCGTTCGAAAATTTCGATTTTTTAAATTCGTCGACTACGCGCTACTTTCCGATTTTTCCGGTTTTTTCCGGGTTCGCGAAATGCTGCGACGGAAAGCGATACCATTTCGGAAACTAGAAACTCGGCGCTTTACGTACGAGCAAGAGCTGTCGCGATAGGAGGAAGAAACGCGATCGAAAACGGCCGGTAAAGTCGAAAAAAAACCGGTAGGTTTTCGTGCTGTTCGACGTTCAACATCGATCTCCTCCGAAGATAAAGGAGCTACTAACCTGACGATTTTTGCGTGAGAAAGTCCGGACATCAGACTCAAAGATAGCGTCTTTTTTTTTCTTTATCCCTTTTCGTTCGAAATTTTCGATTTTTTAAAATTGCTACTTTTCGATGCGTGAAAAAGTCACTTTGTTATCCGGCTCTGTCTTCTATTACTATTATACGTAAGCGAGCAAAAATTATATAGCTATCGAAAAGTAAAGATATTGAGTAAGCTGTTGACTGTTAGAATTCCCGTCAAATTTCGAAAAGGTAAACTTTTAGGACCTCAAAGGTACCGTCACAGCCGTTTTTCGGAGCACTTTGTCTACTTCGATACAGAACTTCGTTAAGAATCGACATGGCTACGATTTTTTTTTCGCAAAAGGAAAGACCAAAGTCTTCTGATCAATCCGATGTACGCCACGTTAACCGGTCGCATTTTTTAAACTTGGCAGATTAGAAAATTTCAAGATATGCAGATATTTTGAGATTGACAATATTGTATTTTGATCAGCCCGAGATACGGGATTCCTGTTAGGCGGGGTTTTGTAGGTATGATAATATTACGAAAGCGAGCGCGTGCTAGCGGAACGTCCAAAACGTGCCATTTTCGGCTTTATCACGATCGCTTCATCCAATATTGGATCATACCGAATAGCATTGTCCTTTTTTACGCGTGAAAATAAACATTCTTGAATAGATTCTGAATTTCTATATTCTAATGGGTGATTTTTTTGCTAGTATCTTTTTGGCAACACTGTTTTTGACAGATGACGCGTGAATCGTGTCTTGCGTCATTGTCAAACTTGTTCAGTTTAGTCTATAATTTAACCATGAATCGACTTACGAACGAACAAGGCTTGCAAATTATTGAATTTTACTATCAAAATTCATGCTCCGTTAAGAGGGTGCATCGAGCAATGCTTCCAATTTATGGGCAATTTGGTCGGCCTACTGAGGGAGCTATTCAGAAGCTTGTGACTAAATTTTGAACCCAGTTTACATTATTGGACATTAAACCACCAACACGCAGACGTAGAGTGAGGACTGAAGAAAATATTGCGGCTGTATCCGCCAGTGTTGGTGATGACCGTGAAATGTCGAAACGCCGCCGTTCGCAGCAATAGGGCCTCTGTTACTCCACTACGTGGAAAATTTTGAGACAGGATTTGGGTGTAAAACCTTATAAGATACAGCTGGTGCAAGAATTGAAGCCACACGACCTCCCACAACGTTTCCAATTTGGTGAATGGGCGCTGGCAAAGTTGGAGGAAGACTACATTTTTATCGAAAAATTGTGTTCAGCGACGAAGCTCATTTCTGGTTGAATGGGTACGTTAACAAGCAAAATTGCCGCATCTGGAGTGAAGACCAGCCAGAAGCATTGCAAGAGCTACCAACGCATCACGAAAAAAATCACTGTTTGGTGTGGAATATGGGCCGGTGGCATCATCGGGCCGTACTTCTTCAAAGACGACAATGGCCGGAACGTAACTGTGAATGGCGAGCGGTACCGTGCGATGATAACAAACTTTTTTTGCCCAAAATGGAAGAGCTGGACTTGGCTGACATGTGGTTTCAACAAGACGGTGCCACATGCCACACCGCACACGAAACAATGGCCCTATTGAGAGGCAAGTTCGGTGAACCGTTTATCTCACGTTTGGGGCCCGTCAATTGGCCGCCTAGATCGTGTGATTTAACGCCGTTGGACTATTTCTTGTGGGGCCATGTTAAGGCTAATGTTTACAGGGATAAACCAGCAACGATTGACGCACTGGAAGCCAATATTGAAGCATTTATTCGCGAGATACCGGCCGATATGTTGGAGAGAGTGTGCCAAAATTGGACCTTGCGCATGGGCCATCTAAAGCGGAGCCGCGGCCAACATTTACTTGAAATAATCTTTAAACATTAAATTATATCGACCGTCCTATCGACTCAAATAAAGATTTAATCGTTTTACAAATTTTTTGTGTTTTTTTTGAAAATCAAATCCTATACCTCTTAAAAAATCACCCGTTATATAGTCCAAACGGTACCGGACTATAACTATAATCATAATAACAATCTAGTTGTGGTATTACCGAGTGATCTTTTGTTTTCTTATGATTAAGCCCCGCCCTCTAACTACCTATATGACAACTGACAAAGTACCTGACCTACAATTTACAACACAAAGTCAAATTTACCAAAACTGAAACCCTAGCTGTCTGACATCTATCGCACTATACTGGGTATTACAGTAATATTCATGTATACATTTTGTGAAGCACTGTATGTAAATCTAGGTATATTTTACTTTTGTTTTATTATCTGCAAGACTTAAGTAGAAATAATAAACGTATGGTACAAATGCATTGAACAGAGTACTACAAAATTCACTCAAAGCAAATTATTTTCGCAAGTGGTTGACATTCTAAAATTGGTTTGGACAGACATGTAGATCTGATATTCTTTGCGAATGTCAGGGGTATTTTGGGTGGATTTCAAAAGTGTAAATTGGACGTAAATAGATACAGTTCCACAGGGCAGTATCCTGGGACCACTTCTTTTTATTTTATACATAAGTGATTTACCTGCCATAGTCAAAAAATGCAAAACTCAGATTTTCGCCGATGACACTATGATTTATATAAGTACTAAAAATATTCAGTCTGGTATCGCTTATATAAATGAAGACTTGAATCTTGTCTCAAAATGGTTAGCATCTAACAGACTAAAATTAAATGCAAGTAAAACGAAAGACTTGTTAATCGGAAAAAAACAATGTACAAATGTTCAACTGAATATTGATGGTGAAGATATTGAATTCGTAGAAAATTTAAAATACCTGGGGGTTTTTGTTGACTCTCGATTAATTTTTGATATTCATTATGAAAAAATTATAAATAAGATTAGTAGTAAAGTGGGATATTTATCGAGAGTTTCTTGATGTCTGAGTTCATATAGCAGAAAAATTATCTATAATACCATCATTCTTCCAAATTTCTTCTACTGTTCGACTATTCTATATTTAGCAAATAATTCCATTTATGAAAGACTGCAAATTTTACAAAATAAGTGCATGAGAATAATGCTAAATAAAGATAAATATACTCCATTTCGGCAAATGCTTAGCAAATTAAAATGGCTCAATGTAAAACATTTTATCAAATATCTTGTAGCGATATTCATTTATAAAGTAAAAAATAATATATTTCCATCATGTCTAACTAATTTAACATCATCAAATGTCGACCATCATTTACATAATACCAGAAATAAAAATGACTGCCATTTAATGACCAAAAAGTATAACATATGCTACAAATCTGTATTCCATCAAGGGTTGATTGAATATAACGTAATAAATTATACTCGGAGATAAAAGACCAGAAAACTTTGACAAAATTTAAAGTAAAATTGAGAAATCACTTGTTAAATCTACAATTAAAGGTTGCCCAGCATTTACATCATAAACCATATGGCTTGAATTTACTGGTTCTAAGTTGTTTACAATTATTCTGTTTATGTAGCCAAATGTGCTAAATAAATCTTTCTACTACTACTACTATATATCTTCGATGCCTTCTTCCTCGTCATTTAAAATCAGCTGGACGTGTTCCTCTATTTATGATTTAATAATTTAACTCAATTTTCGGTACTGCGAAGACAAATTTTCAATTGAGATGAATGTTTTTTTAAATGAAATTGACATAAGTCCTGTCACCCGCTAGTACCTCACAGACGTGAGACGGACGACGTCACATCCGTCTTCCCCTATTCCCGTTCTTCGCGAAAATTTGAGTATCGGTTGCCGGTAGTGCACTGTGCTACACCGTGGATTCGAGAAAAAATCCTTATTATGTATTGAATAAACTGTCATCCTATCTTGATGTACTATATTTTTAATACAGGAAGTAGTGTAACTTACCACTGCAAAGGACTATTCGTATTTCTCTGTTTGCATCATCTCCTTTACCTTCACTCATTATGCCTTTCATTGGTTTCCTATCCATTATCCCATTTTTGATACTTGTTTCACATCTATTCATTCTCTTCTTCTTTTTGAACAAGGCACAGCAATTGATTTTTTCTTTTTTTGGAGGAACTGCCATAGGGCTCACTGCTAGTGGTGCCTCATTCATCTCCTCTCCAACCATTGGTTCAATGGATTCACATAAACATGCCTTGCTGTTCGGAGCGCTATTTGGCATCAAGGTATAACTATGGAAGGTCTGAAATCCATTATAAGCGGAAGGGATGGGTGTATATGATTCCCCTTCCTTTTGTCCTTCATCCACTGGCACTGAGTTTTGTCCTTGCAGGAGGTTGTAAAGTTCCACACTTGACTCGTGCCTGAGAAGGTAGTTCCTTTTTGATTTTGATTTTCGACTTAAGCATCCTCTGCAACAGGGGTATTCTTCATAGCCATGCTTATAAACGGAACATAGTGATGAACAAGACGGAAATTTTCTTAACGCATATTCGTGCATCTACCTGGACTTTTTGAGAAAACGTCTTTTGAATTTTGACATACTGCGTAATGACAGCCGTTGCTTGTCAGTGAATGGTTCTTGCAAAATTTGCTTCTAGGCTTCTAGGGGGAAACACCAGAATCAGTTCAGACCTTTAGGATTCTGGAAATTTCTTGCGCCACTCTGAAGAAACTTGTATACAGGGTGACAGGTAAATAGGTGTAAAACATTTTAGGAGGTGATAGTACAGCTCCTTTGCTATCAAAATTGGTATATAATACCATACCCTATATTCAAAGGTTAAAAAGTTATGGAAGATTTAATTTTTTTTTAAAAACAACCCAGATTACAGAGTAAAATAGTTGAGATAAAAAAAAGTTCTTTTTTTGGTGGTTTCAGGTTATTATTTAAATAAATAATTAAGAAATTAAAAAACATATGAAAACACTACTGAAAACGTATTTATTTTCATTTAAATGTTAAATGAAGGTTTTTATTTTCAACTTTCACATAAAGAAGTCTTTTTTTCTTCAAAGAAATCATAATAAAGAAAATGTACAAATAACTGCAAAAACTTCCTCGTTTCATTAGGTTTCTAAAATGGTATAATAACATATCAGTAAGTAAACCATTTCACAAAACAATATTACTTTGCTAGAAAGGATCGCTAAGCGCATTTCATTGTATTGAGCAGGTAAACCGAGCCTTTCATGGTTCGACCCTTTTTGTTATTTTTTGTGCCCTGTGCCGTTATTCGGGTTTAAGTATTCGGAATCTGTCGTCGCTCCTCGGAAGCAACCTCTGCGTGTGTTATGAATTGACACAGCTGACGGATCAAGGAAAGGGGACTAACGCTTAGGTTAGTTAGTAGAATATCAACCTTCAACGCGGTAGGACGTACTTTTACTTTTTTGATCAGTTTTAATAATGGCGAGTTACCGTAACGAAGAATACGCTGATATTCTGTTTTGTTATGGTTTAAGTGATGGAAATTCCGTTGAAGCCAGGCGAGAATACGAAAACCGTTTTCCGAATCAGCGAATACCGAGTCATCGAGTATTTGCTTCTGTCTACCAACGCGTCAAGGAAAGTGGACAGGTTCATGAGAGACGTCATGATGCTGGTAGACCTCGGTTGTTTGACGATGAAGATCGAGAGGCAATACTGGAATGCTACAGCAGAGACCCGACGACGTCTATACGAGTTATAGCAAAGCAGCTTGGTTTAACTCAGTGGAAAGTTTGCTTCGTTTTCCATTCGGCGAGACTTTACCCTTTCCATGACACACCGGATCAAGTATTAGAAGAAGGAAATCCCACAAGAAGAATTGATTTTTGCCGATACATGCTTCATCGGGATCAAGAAGAAAACGACTATTTAACTAAAATATTGTCTAAGTTTAACAGAGAGGGGACAACAAATTATCACAACTTACATTATTGGGCCCCACGAGAGGCAAATCCCCACATGGCAAAGCCAAGAGCCCATCAAAGAAGATTTTCGTCAAACGTGTGGATGGGAATCATTCATACGTATCTAATTGGATCAATTTTTTTGCCTGACAACCTGAATGGCGAATCCTATGAAAACTTTTTGAGATTCGAACTCTGGGAGTATCTCGAAGACCTGCCTCTGAATATCAGGATGCAGATGACCTACCAACACGATGGCTGTCCCGCGCATTTCCGTCTGGGTGTTAGACAGTGGCTGGACGAGAAATATCCTTGTCGCCGGATTGGCCGAGGTGGACCGACACCGTGGCCAGCAAGGAGCCCAGATTTAACACCGTGTGACTAATATTTATGGGGGCACATGTTGTCACTGGTGCTCTGAGCCCATAGACACTCTTGTACAGTTGAAAGAAAGAATTATTGCTGCTGCTGACACTATCAGAGGGCAACTAACTGTCCGCATCACGCGTACCAACATGAGAAAAAGACTAAAGGCTTGCATAAGAAACGGCGGGCGTCAGTTCGAACAACAATTGCAATGAATTTTACCTTCATTTCATTATTGTATTTTACTTACCAATTGTAGTAACTTTTAGTCAGTGTTTATTATTCTGTAGCACAATTACAACTTTGTAAATAATCTAATCGTGTAACTTAACCGTAGTTTAAAATAATAACTATCCCATAGCTTACAGTTACATTATTTACACAAAAACACTTTCTTATCAATCAGAGAGTTGTGAAAATAGGAGACAAGCCATTGGTAAATTTACCCCCTATTGTTGTATTACAATACATTATGTTTAGTTTCACACAGTTTTTGTGCACTTATCATACCAATTTAGATTCCTTATGAAACAAGGATATTATTTAAATTGTTTGTACGTTTTTTTGTATATTGATTTTTTTGTAAAACACCTTACTTACTGTAAAACGTTATTTGTTTTTCTTGGTTAAACATTTTTGAATGAAAATAAATACGTTGTTTGGTATTGTTTTCGAATCTTTTTTAATTTATAATAGTTAATTATTGAAATAATAACCCAAAACCACAAAAAACAAATGTTTAGTCGCCAACTTTTTTCTCTCTCGACTTTTTTACTCTGAAATATGGATTGTTTTTAAAAAAAGCTTAAATCTTCAATAACTTTTCAACCTTTGAATATAGGGTATGGTATTATATACTAATTTCGATAGCAAAGAGGCTGTACTATCACCTCCTAAAATGTTTTACACCTATTTACCTGTCACCCTGTATAACTCGGAATCTGTCTGATAAGCTGCATAGCCTCTGACTTGGCTCCATTTGACAAACTTACTGCGCTATAGGAATACGCTATTTAGCCAGGTAAGTAGAAAGTCTATAATGGACGAAAATTTGGATATAGGTAACTGGAGAAGTCATTTTTAGAACAGTGTTTTTCTTCGCTTTTGGCGGTTGTGTTATCAATTCAATAATATACTAAGTGACATATAAATCCGAACACCCAGATTAAATGGTTTTATTTTAATAAAATTTTGTATAAGTACTTAATGAAGCATAATAAGTAAATGATAAAAATTTCAAAATGATTGCACTGCTTTAAAGCCCTTTGAACTTTAATAATGTGTGGATGCACTCTGATGTGCTACGCATTCTCCTACGCGCCTAGGCATGCTTCTGATCAGGTGGTCAATGTCCTCCTGTGGTATCTCATTCCCGGCAAACACCAACTCCTCTCGAAGTGCTTCTAGAGTCTGAGGAGGACGTTGCAAATTGAGCAATCTCCTACCCATCATATCCCACACGTGCTCAATTGGGGATTAGTCGGAAGATTTTGGTGGCCATGGTAACAATGTGACATCGTTATGTTGAAAGAAGTCTATTGTGACTCTTGCAACATGTGGTCGGGCATTATCTTGTTGGAAAGTTGGATCTGCCAGGGTGTCAAGATAGGGTAAAAGATGGCGTTCTAGAACTTCGTGGATATAACGCTGCGCGTTCATGTTACCTCTGATGAAGATTAAAGGTGACCTGGAACCATAAGCTATAGCACCTCAAACCATAACTCCAACAGTGTGATGAACATGTCCTTCAACAAAAAACTGTGGATTCCTCCTTTCACCACGTCGCCTTCTAACCCTGGCACGAGCATCGTGCATGCCTAAACGAAATCGAGACTCGTCACTAAAGACAATACTGTTCCATTCCTGATCCCAGAGTCACCGTTGTCTGCACCACTCAAGGCGATTACGTCGGTGTTCTCGAGTTAAAGGGAGGACCCAGTGTGGCCGGTATGAAAACAAGCCAAAACTTCTCATTCCTCGGTAAACACTTCGCATGCCAATAGGTCTTCTGTGTTCTGCAAACCATTTATTTGCAATGGACCTGGTAGTGGAGAAACGGTTCCTTAAGGCCAATAATCTTAGGCGGCGATCTTCACGGTCTGTTGTTCTACGTCGGCGTCCAGTGTCCCTTGCTCTTTGCGTACGGCCTTCTCGAAGCCATGCCTGACAACTCCTAACCACAGTGTCTACACTTCTTTGCACTCTAACTGCAATTGCCCGAAAAGAAAGTCCAGCGTCCCGAAGTCCCACTATACGGCCCCTATCAAACTCACTAAGTTGATGAAATCGTACAGGTCTCCGTACTCTAGGCATCGTAACCGATCGTAAAGGATGTCAAGAACCAAAATCTGCCAACGCTGATTCTTTAATTTTCATTTTTAGAGCGTTAGTGAATTAAAAAAAAGCAGTAAAAAACCGGAATGTCCAACTGATAAGGCTGAAATTTTTTTCACTTGTTATTTACAGTAAGATAAATACATTCACCAACTTTTATTGAAATAAAACCATTTAAACTGGGTGTTCGGATTTATATGTCACTTAGTAACTAACTGAACCACGTACGGAGCTAAGCCTCCATGGGAAAATTTCACACTGAGCAAACCGACCTGAAACGCAGACGCTGTTTCACGCATCAGCTGATTCAACGGCGGATCCAGGATTTGTGTCTGGGGGGGGGGGGGCACACTGCTCAAAAAACTTCATGTTCAGAAAGATGTTCTTTTCGTTTTCGGGGCGGGGGGGTTATGTCAGTGCCTCTGACATAAAAATTCAAAAACTTGACTGGCGGGCGGATGGCAGATGACAACACAACTAACAATTATCACTCCTATTAAAGTTGCAAGAATGATTATACGGTATTCCTTAAACAGTATACTGTAAGAACATTAGCAAGACCCTCTTAGAACAGCTATACAAGCGGAATGGGCACACCTAATAGGACACTTCAGTCACTTAAGAGGTTGTATACGGGCTGCAGGTAACAGTTAAAAAACAAAAGTGTAAGCCTCTTGCAGCCGCTATAGCACATTTGCGGCAGAGCAAGATTCAGTTTTTGTCAACTATACAACTATTCTCTTACGTGATTCTACTTTATTGCAACCAAACTATTTCCTATGTATTGTATAGATGAAGTGAAGAATATATAACTAACTATTACAGTCATCTTGTCTACTTACATATCGGCCATTGTGAATTTCATACACAGGTATATGATAAACTTCTACACTTTGATATAGGGCTATTGAATTACTTGCGCGGCAAATTTTATTGTGATTATCGTGCAAATTAGTTACCCAATTTCTATGGGCTTCGTACTTGATTCATATTTTGATAAT